GTGTGTGTGTGTGTGTGTGTGTGTGTTCGTATTGTGAACTTGACAACACACACCCACACCCACACACCCACACACCCACACACACACGTGCAAGTGTGCCACAGTGGCGGCAGATGAGTGTGTGGGCACTTGGTACTTAACCACACAAATGTGGCAAATCTTGCATCTTCTATTAAATTGCCTATCTACATCTCCCTTTCTTTATGGATGGTTTGTGGATGATTTGTGGATGTTTTGTGGATGCAATGAGGGGAGAGTTTTTTTTTTTTTGACAGCACAAACACGCACACACACGTGCATGAGTGCGGAGTGTAGGTGTGTGTACACGTGTGCTCAGCGTGGCTGTACCTTACATCCACGCATTTTAATGTTCATGTTGCGCTTCTCTGATTCGTTGGTGTTTGGTAATAGTCACTTCATAGTCACTGACCATAAAGCCTTTGTACTGTTCAACCCATAACTACCGTCGTCACCCGAATAGAATGCCTGGTCATTATACCTGCATCTGGACTGAAAGTTGCCCCAAATACGGTTATAACGTCCAGGCGTTAAATTTGGGTGAAGACGGTAGCTGCCTCCTTCTGTATGTATGAATCTTCAGGCTTGCTGCAATACCCTTCACTTGTCAATGCGCGTTGCGCAATGACCTCGTGGGTCGGATATCGTCGTAAGCGTGATTCCAATGCATGCGCGTAGCAATCAAGCCGTTCCCACCTACCTGATGGACTGGCAGACCTTTCCGGCAAAGCATGCACTACTGCAATGCTACTGCAGATGATGGTGGTATTTTTTGTTTTGCCTTGCGGCTCCTGGCATTCTAGTCCGGTAGAACAAGCCCCTGTTAACCCGCCATGTCGGACAAAAGTAGCTGGGAAAGGGACGGGTGATTTAAACCACCAGTACTTCCTAAAGTCGCGCAGCGTTAACGCTACGCAATTTTAGGACACATACGGGCCACTACAGGACGCCCAAATTCATCCAACTAGAAACGTTTCTACTCTATTTTTTTTTCCGCGGCCGATAGCTGGGCCAAGTACTGGTGGTTTAAGTATGTGGTCAGACATGTTGCGTATGTACATGCAACAGTTAAATGAACCATTTATTTGGGACTTCTGAAGGTGCAGGCACTGCTATACTTACCTTCTTGGGAGGCTTTCATCAACAAACTCAAAAAGTGCATCGAACTGGAAAAAGGCATTGCGTCCATCCGGTAAAAAAGGTAGCGGTGGAGAATCACACAACAGAAGCTTGAGCAACCAGGTGAGTCCCAATCCAAAATCACATGAGTCACATGACTAAAGAATTCTGTGGACTTGTGATGTATGTGGTCAGACAGTTGCGAATGTACATGCAACAGTTATCTTGAGCGGATCGAACCGGAAAAAGGCATTCCATCCATCCATCCATCCAGTGAAAAGCGTAGCGATGGAGAATCACACGACAGAATCTTGAGGAACCACGTAAGTGTGAGGATTGAGCCCTCAAGTAGGGGCCTTGCCATGATGTACATGTTTTGGGCTAAGGCCCCAGCAAGCCTAGTGCCCGCCCTAAGTGAAGGCGGGCCAGCAAATCAACAAGAGCCCTCTGTGCAAACATTTCCTGAAGTGGGGTTCGTACAGTTGCAGCTCGCCAGTTGGTTGGAGTGCACCGAGTCTCGATTTTCAGCAAATGCTGAAAACCCAGGGCCTCTGAGTTAGTTAGGCCCTGGATGCTTGAACGTCAGGCTGACAATGCATGCTGGGTATAGAGGCCGAAAATGCCAAAGGGAAATCGGCCCACTATCTGAATCTGGCCGCAGGCCTTGATGAAAGAGGCGCAACTGCATTGCCCTGGGCCTCAACTGTATCGGGCTGGGTTCAGCCACTGGGGCCCGGTCGCAGGCTGAAGGGAGGCCGCCCACACGCAGCACTGGCATATAGGCAAGCAGGGCGAGTGGGCAGGGATCTTGGCCATTGCGAAGGCCGGCACGCTGCTGCGTTGCATGCATGCTGCGCTGCGCTAAGGCTGAGGGACGCAGGCTGGCGCTAGGCGGTAGGGCGCTGCCTGCACACAGGGCGCGGACGGCCATAGCTGGGCTGCCTGAGGGCGCAGGGGAGGTGAGGGCGAAGGTGGTTCTTCGGAGGTGAAGGGTGCTGTGTGGGTACAAGGGAGAGTGTGGGTGAAGAGGACACGTACCTGGTGGAGATGGAGGTCGGCATTGGTGTTGACATCATCACTTGCTGGTAGTCAAGTTGTCTGGTTGCTTTCATTGGGCGCCTGGCGCCATTCATGAGAGAGAGCTACATTGGGTTATGCTGTTGGTGTTGCCCTGTAGGGCATGGACATTGACTCACGATTCTTCTGTATCATTCTCAATTGGGTGGTTACTCGGTTCCATTGTGCTATCTGCTTTGGCTTTGACTACTTGGACTTCAGTGTGATTTTGCATTCTGGATTTCTGTGCTTCGTCCATATTCATGTTCCTTGCATAAGTTGACTAAAGGGGGGGGGGTTGTTGTGGCAAGGCTACTGTCTTCTCTTGAATAGAGCGTGTGGTTATTGTTGATGTATCTTGACTGCAAGTGGCCCCAAATACAAGCATAATTACAGTACGTTCTATTTGGGGGGAAGACTGTAGAAGAGGAAGAAGTTGAGAACAATCCAAGCCTGCGGCTCAGGGTCCAAGGCGGGTCTTTCCAATATAATTAATGTTTTTCTTTGTTAATTATTGTCGCTGACCGAACCACGGGTAGACCACCATATCAAAGCCTTATGAGGTCTAAAGTGGCCTCCTCGAAGGGGTCTGCCAGGACGACAACATATAAGGGGGCACTCGGGCAATGTTTAAAACTAGGTGACGTGCCCACCATAGTAGTGGGCGGGTAATGATTCCCACCAATAGATGGAGCGGCGGAGATGAAAGAAGCAGACCTGCAAAGTCACCGTTATTGTGGGTTGGCGGACTGATCCGAACAATTTTATTTTATTTTTTTCCCGTGTATCTAGACCGCAATTCAGCTATACCCATTCAGCAGAGACTGCTGATGTTCATGGAGGGAGGGGGCTGGAGGGGAGGCACAGCGACTGGCCCATCGAAGAAGCTCGGTCCTGATGCTACTGGCTGACACCTGGCCGGTATCGCCCACCTGCTGTAGCAGGTATAGAACCTGCTGGTGGGTGCAGCCGGCTCCCACATGTTCCCTCGTTGGAGGCGTGAGCACAGATGTGGCTGCTACGGGGTTACCCGTAACACTATAATGATAATAAAAATGAAACGGCCTGAAAGGCCGTCCTGTCCAGATTTGACAGGTAATTGAATTGGTAGGGCTTAAACCACCAGTACTTGGAGCAGCTATCGGCCGGGAAAAAATAGAGTAGCAACGTTTCTAGTTGGATGAATTTGGGCGCTCCTGTAGTGGCCCGTATGTTTCCTAAAATCGCGTAGCATTAACGGGCACGACTTTAGGAAGTCCTGGTGGTTTAAAAGAATTAGCATTTATAAAATAAAAAAAGAAAAAGAAAAAGAAACTTGGCAGAATATGCACTGGAGAAGATAGAAAAAAACAAATAGAAAAGGTTAAGAAAGAAAGAGAAGAAGGGAGGATTATTGTGAGGCCGTGGCTCTCTCGCGTTCATTCCTTTTTTCTTTTTTCATTTTTTTTTAAAAACCATCCTCCAATCTGCATTCATTCCAACAAGGTTGAGATGCTATTTTC